AATACAGAATTGTAAGTAAAGTTTAGCTGTGTCTATTTTTCCAGAATTTACAAGGCTACAAAAAATTTTGTAACATGAGTTGCTTTCTCACATGGAGGATGGGCTCTAGAATCTTTGTGCAAGTCCATTCAAAATTAGTAGAATTTATTTCCTAGTATGACAGGCTTGGGGACTCAAGTTCCTCACTGGCTCTTGGCTAGAGAGAACCCTCATATCCAAGAGGATGCCTGCATTTCTCTGCCATGAAGCCCTTTCCATATATCTGGGTTTAGTTCTTTACAGCCCGAGAAGATCACTAAGAAAATCCAGCAGGATGAAGTTATGGATGTATTGCAATATAAAAATGGAAGTGTCACCCCAACACCATTGCCATATTCTGTTGCAAGCAAGTCACAGTTCTGATGACACTCTGTTGGATGATATTATAAAAGAGGTAACTCACTGCGTATTACTTTAAGTTGTGTCCATGCAAAGCTCAGTTTGACTAATAAATCTTTGTATTTGAATGATAACAATTCTAAATTTTGCTAGATATCAAATAACTTTAATAGCCCTCACTCATTATGAGTCTTCTGAAATTCTTTGAGTTGTTATATGTAAGTATTGAAAATCTCCAACCTAATAAGGTATGAAGTACTTAGAATGGAGATAAATACTTTTATTATAATAAAAGTAATCAATATCATCATCATTTTAATATTACTCCTATGTTCATAAGGTTTGGAAGTTCGGCATACTTAACCATGCTGGAGTTTTGATAAGATTTGCATCAAATTTATTATGACAGGACAAAAAACAAGATTGGGGGTGATAGAAAAATTACCAGCCAAATATAGAACAAATGCTTAACTTCTTACTAAAGTGGAAATGATAAGAATGTGTATCTATCTTGCATAATATAAGGCCTCAAAAAGTCCTAATTTGCTTAATGCAGACTTGTAAAGTAGAAAACATTTAATCCAGAATGGTGAAAAGAGCCAGGCACGGTGCTGCACCCCTGTAAGTCCCAGAGACTCAGGAATCTGAAGCAAGAGGATTGCAAGTTGGAGGCCAGACTCAGCAATGAAGCAAGGCCATGAGCATCTTAGTGATATCCGTCTCAAAATAAAACATAAAATAAAAAAGGGCTGATAATATGGTTAAGCTCCTCGAGATTCACTCCCCGATACACCCCCAAAAAAAGAATGATTAATAAGATGAAGTTCCAGAAAGACAGGTAGGCTGCCTGGGTATGCCTTTGAGGTGCATCTATATTAACAGAGATTTTGTCTCTGTCCTCCATACGCTAGACTGTCAAAGAAGATCACTTCCTTATTCTCACTGATTGCACTTTACCAGGAAGAGTAGAAAGCAAGACTCCATGACAGGCGAGGAGGGACTTGGTACTCTGTTTTGTTCCACACAGTCTTAATCACTCCCAGTCAAGACCTTCTTGCCACTCGTACTCTCTACTAAGAAAATATTTTAAAAATCAGTGAAAATAGAGAGTTCTCAAAACAAAAAAAAATCAAACTATCAAATTTGATGTTTCCTCAATTTCTAGTAATTCTTGACACTTTTCAAGGGTTCTCCTTTTGTTTATGCTGAACATCTGTTTGATATTTTAGTTTTTGATCTACTGATCTTTATTTTTTACTGTATGTATTTATTAAATTATTAGTTACCAGTAAGTTAAGTCTGGATATTATGTGAATTATGAAGAAAGATCACATATAGGTCTGATTCTGGAAAGTTTGCTTAAGGACACTTAAGGAATGCTAGGTTATAGCCAAACTCTGACTTAACAGAACAGTTAGAGAAATAAAATGAAAATAGTAAGGAAAGCATTCCAGAGAGAGCTGTGGATACACAGAAAAGCATGATGTGTTCTGTTTTTCAGTGGAATCTTTTAAGAAGCATTGTATCTGGAAGTGGGTAAGTTTTTTTGAAGATTTGGCTCAAGTATGAGACTCGGGAGAATTTAGGGACATATTGATGGCATCAGGACATGAATGTTTGTTAAGTGACTAAATTTTATATTTTTCAAACCTCTTAAAGGATAACTTTAGAGTGAGGCAAGCATGATGGAGATCTTTAACCTTTTAGGAAGATGCACAATAATGAAGATGAACAAGATAAAAGTCAGAAATAAAGCTGATTTAAAACAGAATGCATCTGACATAACTTTCTTATGTACATATATGAATACACCACAGTGAAGCTCAGCATTGTGTGCATCTATAAGAATGGATCCTAATTAGAATAAGATATATTTCATATTTGCTTAAACATATCAAAATAGATTCCACTGCCATGGAAACTAAAAAGGACAAATAAATATTAAAAAAGAAAATTAGTATCTTCCCAAAGAAAGAACATTTGCCTCAAACTACACCGTCTAGAAGATATACCCACTAACCATATGTGCCTATGGCATTTAATTTCATATTAATTAATATTTCCTCAGTAACATTAGATAATTTCAAGTGTCCAGTTGCCTTATGTGACTAGTGGGTATGTGTGATACTGGAAAGCATAGACAGGCAGTTTTTGTTTCCTCATGGAAAGATTCATTGGATAGCAGTAATGCATAGTGAGTCCAAGATATTTCATGTCATTTATATGTATGTTCATGGGAGAAAGCATATAAAATGAAGCCAGTATGAGAAATAATATAATGGGTTGAATTACAAATGTGTTGTGTTTTGAGTTAAATTCAGGTATACAAGTGTATTCCATTGCTCTTCTACTTTTACCAATACTGCCTCAAGGGTATCCTTTCTCATATTTCTTTCTATTTAGAGGTGAAACTGCTGGCTAAATTCCCAAGTCAATATTTGTTATCTCTAAGTATATATGCAATTATTAATGGTTACCAATTTCTCCTCTAATTTATATTGTCTAGTTGTCTGATAAATCCTATTTCCTATCAACTAGCTTAAACTATGAGCTATTTAAAAATAAGCCCTTTGTTTCCTAATCTAAATTTAAAATACCATCTGATTTTTCATTCATTTTATCTAATTATGACTGAGACTTATAAGATTTTCCTATATTTACAAGTAATTTGTGTACTTTTAGGACTGGAATTTTTCATATTTTATTTTTTCTGTATCTTTTTTTCATTATTGGTTTGTAAGTTTTTTTAACACATCAGGACACAATGTAAGTCATGAAGTTGTATTATAAGTTAAAAGCCACTCCCTAGTTTATTCTTTTACTGACTTTTCATGATGAAACTTTTACCTATTTAGAATATTGCTAAGTTTATCAATATTTCACTTATGATTTCTATTCTAGAATAAAATTTTTGCTTACATAAATATCATTCATGTTCCCTTTAGCATATTTAAATTTTTAATGTTAAAATATTAGATTCATAAATATATCATATATCAATTGACTTCAGAATAAGAACTGGGAAAACCTTTTTAAAAATTTTACCATCCCAGCATTTGAAAAAGGGAGAGAATCATAGTTCTTACATAATTTTGCTTTAGTAGTTGTTATTGCTGATATTTTAAGTGAATAAAAAGAACCCATCTTTTGTATATTCACATGCAAAGGAAAATATAATCTTACATCTGTAAGTGAAATATTATAATAATTTCAAATATTTTAATGAAAAAGTCCATAACACACACTATTCTCAGTACTACAATGATTGAAATAAATAACCCAAACATTTCAATAAATGAGACTTCTAGCTTATGAGACTCACATGAACATCCTACTCCACCTAAACCATTGACTTATATATAATTTATATTTGAAAATAGATTAATTCTGTATATATGCAAACTTTATGAATAGGTGGGGCAAATTGAAAATCTCAGAATTCATGGTCACTTAATATCATCTTGTTTGTTCTTTTTCAAGGCCTAATTGTAAGGCAGAAGTTAATTCTCAGAATAAGGATTTTTTATTTTCAGAAGAGAAAAACTGATTTACTTCAAACTATTAAAAGTTGTCCTTGTATTTTTTTAATTTGTGTTTGTAAGGATTATATATAAAAAATCTTAATTTGCCACACTTTAAGCATCACTGAATTCCTAGGCCTTAGTAGAAGAACAGCTTGTATTCGAATTTGCATTTACTGCAAGGCCACTTCTTTTCATGGATCTCCTTACAAACAGGTAGCCTTGCCATGTGGTTTGGTAAATACTTTGAGGAAGCACATTGCAATGTGTTATATGTTGTCTCTTTTAAAATATTGAAAGTTCTGCTAAGAGCTGAGTCTTTACATTTTCTATATGGAAATAAGGAGAAAAAAAACATGTCTACCACTTTTATAAGAAATCCTGATATATCCCACACCAATGAAACATGGAAACTTCATTGAAGATGCAAAACCACAATTTTTTTTGAGGGAGACATTATGTTCCAGGTTATGGTTAAGCATTTTTCTTATTAACATATCTAACAATAATTATTACCCTTAAATATCAGATCCAGTGAACAGAGTGTCAAATAGCATATGGTGTTTTATGGATGATTATGAAGACCAAGTTCTTTGCAGATTAATTTAAATATAGAGCAAATATAGGTAGCCTTGACAAGACAAAGTAGCCAGCACCATACTGTACTGTAACTACTCTTGCAAATTTTTAAAAGTTATTAAAATTGTGTAACCACTTTCATTTCTACAATCAGTTATATCTATTATTAGTAGTAGCATTAATATTATTTGCAAATCTATTTCTTAATTACTAATTAAAAACAGCATCATCAAAGATAAATCCTATCAAACTATAATCAATTTTAACTTTATTTTGTAAAAACATGCAAATAAAAAAGCTAAATGTATAAATGTTATTCAAATTATTTATATTGTTATTTTTAATGACTAAATTATATAACATGATAGCTCCAAATAATATTACCACTTTGTTAAAATATCAAAAAATTAAACCAAATCTCCATAAATTTATTATCTCAAGTCTATACTTCTACTATATTATTATTATTATTATTATTATTATTATTATTATTATTATTATTATTATTATTTTGGGCTGTAGAACACCTATTTGAATTTTCAGGAATTCAGATTTTAAATTCATTCAAAGAATTTAGGGTAAGAAAGAGATTAACATATCAGATATTGGCTCTTTCATAATATTGCTGTCATGAAACTTTGCTTTTACTGTTTTAAATATATTAACTTATTTTGCAACACTTTTATCATATCATGAATTTCAATACACAAATGTGTTAGGAAGTCATATGAATTGTTAAAAATTTGCCCATAGCATACAAGAAAAGAATACTAATCATAATACAATATTCTATATTATATGATGCTAATCACTGTCTAAATGTCTATGGGAAAATAAATATATTCCATCTGTTGGGAACATATATGTTTTCCAGTTAATGGGTTTACCAAAGATAGGAGAAAATGAGATGAATAATGAATAATTTTCTCTTCTGCCAAATGAAAATACAAGAACATTTTCAATTCATCTTTTCACTTCATCTGTCATTTTCATGCCTTATTGCATCAAATGCTCCACTCCTTCTCAGTCATATTTTACTTACAAAATATTGTCTATATCTTTCTGTATTAACCCCAAAGCCCTGGCATATGCCCTGCTTCAATGCTTGGCTACTAGGATAAAAATTTCCAGTGAATCTTGTCTGAATCCCGTCCTTCTGCCTTCTAACTCATGTGTGATATCCATTTGTTACCCTTCTAGATACTGTGGCCAATTCCCTGCTGTAAGTACCCAAAAACCTTTCTACCTTGAGGTGATGGTGCAAAGTTACCTAACACTTTATAATATACCCTTGTTCTATTTTGTCTCTCTCCTCCTTTAAGCATTCTGCCAACATCAAAGCACAAATGAGAAACTGAATTGTTATTAAAATCAATATTGTTTGTAACTCCAATGCTATTTTTTAATCATATTGTTAATGGACCACTTCTAAATCCAATGAACAATCATCACCATTTGGACAGTAATTTGTATTCATTGCAAAAACAAAACAAAACAGAAAGGCGAAAAGGAAAGAGGATGATTTTTTTTACACATAAAGCATTTTTTTTTTTTGCAGTCAACTGCGATAACATGCTCATCCCAGTGGATAAACCATGAAAGCCACTTGTATGTGTGGATAAGTGAGGGAAAGGTATAGACACTGATGAGGATTTTGAACCATCTGTACAAATACATTGTCTCTGCCTTTTTTCTAGGGCTAAGGGCAGGAAATACATGAGCCATTGAATGTGTAAATTTTCCTCTCTTCAAGCCTCTATTGATGATCTAGCAACCAATAGCATTATCAATCCAAATTGAGTTCAAATGTAATTTTCTATATGAATCAGACCATTTGAAGGTCAATTTCCAAATTTCAGTTCAATATAAAAGGAGGATAGTAATGATAATAAAAATTACAAATAATGATCCAACAATTATGCAGCATTTTCCATGAATTATATTATTGATTCTTTTTATCATTTTTATCCAAAAACTTAGGTTTATATATATTAGCTTATTCACAATTATCTTCTACAAGTAGAAGTATTTTCATTGGCTGAGTTAATGAGCTGTTGAACAGTACCACAAACAGAGAACATTTGATTATTTTTTTTTTCAAATCTAGGAATATGAAGTTTACCAAATATAGGTGTAACCTGTAAGTAGGGGTATTAAGTGGATCGTTTTCTACACAGGATGATTTGTATCCAAGAAGTTAAAAATATCATATCAACTTTAACAACACATAAATATAAATCTTAATAATATCTTAAATTCTCTATCTTATCAGAGGGGTAAACCAGACTATTTTTTCTGACTTGTTAATTGTTAAATATCTCTATATTATGCAAGATTTTACTTGACCAGGCATGGTACCAAGATCTCAAGACTGCAAGATGCCCAGGATGACCTTAAGCTTCTGTTCTCTTTTAGGAAACTGCAAAGCAAACACAGGTATGACTGCCAGACAGAGAGATGAGGGCATAAGAGAGGCTTGCCATCGGGGCAGGGAGGGGGGTCCACATGTGATCAAACACTCAGAGAACCCTGCCTGAGGGTGACGACTACTACCTGAGGGACAGGTAGTAGTTAAATGGTGGCAGTGTGTATTCCAGGTAGAGAGAGGACCCACTGTAAAGACTTTGTGGGTAACCAATTATTTGGGATGGTTAGGTCAGATTTGCTGAGCCTATAGGAATCCCACAACCAAAGTGATCATAATGGTGGCTTAATGTCTGAACTTAATGTCTTATGTGTGAGGTCACTGAATGGATAAAGGAAATGGCTTTGACATTCTGGTGCCTATTGAAGTTTGGAGAAGGGCGAATGGCTTGTCCCTGGAGGGACAAGTATAGGTAGACAGTTGGAGCTACCATTGGGGCAGTTACTGATTGTGAAGGTTATTGAAATTCAAACTCTAACCTAACAGTTCTTAGAAAGGAATTGAAGATGTCTAGCAGCATAACTGGATGTATATTGAAGAAGGATGAATCTCTCGTAGATGATAGAGTGGAGGGACTCATTCCATGAAAAGGGAAGCCATTGAGGCTTCTGCTGTGGTATTCCAGGTGAGAGGAAATAAGGGCTGGATGGATGCAGAGATGCGGGAAGAGGAGGAACGTGTAGAACAGAAATATCAGGACTGTCAGGTTGGGAACTGATACAGGCAGGGAAGGGAGAAGGAAGAATTGAGAATGCCCAGACTGCTGCCTGGGCTGGGGGTATAGAAAGAGGGGTTTCAGAAGGCTGGAGGGAAGTGGACCCAGCCTGCACATGCTGTGGGGTGGGGTGAAGCTGACAGAGCAGTCTCTCATTCAGTTCTCGACCTTGAGACACAAACTAGTGGGTACCTGGTCAACTGTGGACGGTGGGAATAACTGACTGCTGAAGGAAGTGCACAGAGCAGGAAGACTGGCATTCAGAGAGTGAATGGAGAAAGAAGAATCCAGCAGCACCAGGAAAGGAAGTGGCAGGGGGAGGGAGGAAGGTCCGACTGTCCCAGATGCACCACGTGGTTCTGACGTGTGTCTCTGCTCTGCTGTGTGCTCCATTTCCTTCTTTCCTTGAGTTGCTCCGAAAGAATGGACACCCTTCCTTCCACTGTGCACTCCCCAAATCCGGTTAACATTCTTGGTAAGGGTGGACCCTGTCTCTGAACACCATCCATTACAGTGTCTTGTGGTTCCTTTCCCTGAAGAAAGTTTATTTCTTCTTAGTCTTGGGAAATTATTAAAATCACCAACCAATACTTTTTAAAGAATAGTTCATAGTTTAGAGAAAATTTGAACAAATAAAAATACTTGGGAAGAGTTATATATTTACCTATGTAGGTCAAACCTTTGTTGATCAATAGGAGGCTTGTTCTATACAAGTTTATGTAGTATTAACTCACACAGATGTGGTTTTATTCTTCAGAATTTTTTTAAATCAAATGGTCCCAAACCAGATTTTCTGGGTGTTATATGCTCTTTTAATTTTCTTTTTTGTTTATTTTTGATCATATCAGGGGATCTTCAACTATATAATATTGTGACTTCCCTGGTAACGGGCACCCTTCTTTACTTCTGTGTGCTAACCTAATCTTCTCTAGGGGAAGTGATCAATTAACCTATAGTGTGTGATAAACGAATTGCTTTCAGCCAAATCATCAATTGGCACTCCAAAGATTCCCATTCTTTTTTTCTTCTTGTTGTTTCATATTAAGACCATGCAGAAATAAAATAACAAAAGCATATTCTAAGATATATAAGTTTATGTGGCTATTCCAAGAGAATCTTTAAAAAGGAAATTACACAAATTTTACTAATTGCTATAAAATTTTATCTCATATTGGATATATTAAAAGACTGTACAATCTTGACCGTAAACATTGAAATCCACTGTTTTTATCAACAGAGGACTGATTTGGGGGACTGTTTCATTTTAAAGATAGCTCCATCAGTTTTAGAAATTTCCTCTTTAAACATATTTAACTCAAATTTGGTGGGTTAAATAAAATTTGAAATAGATATAGGAACATAATTAGTACTATGATTCACTGTCCTTTAATATCCCTTAAGTAGCTCATGAAGATAAGCACACTTGAGAGTCAGAGGGACAGAGTCTGAATGACGGTCCTCTGCTGCTGTGAAGATCCCCACCGACCTACTGTCTTGTGCTGCAGGTCAGCAGGGCTGTGTTGCTGAGCAGGCCTTGGAGAGAACTTCTTCATTCCCTTTCCTAGCTTCTGGTGAAGCTGGGTCCTTCAACAAGACTTAGGAAAGCCAACTTAAACTAAGAGGACCCAACAAATCTCATTAGCTCGTTGCCTGAAAAAACCTGAGGTAAGCAATGCCTAAGATGTTCTGACATAACCATCAAGGCATGGTGTCCCTTTGTCCCCTGGCTCTGACTTCTGCCTCCTTGGTCTCATTCCAGGACTGTGTGGTGGTCCTTGTCAGCTCCTGACTCACATCTTCCCACTTCTAAGGAAAAGTTGGGAAGGTCTCCTTAAATTTCATTAGTTCTGATTGGGTAACCCCATCCTCCTTGGGTCAATCACTGTGACCAGGGAAATACCATGCTCTGACTGGTCATGTCTGAGTCCTGGGACCAAAGGAAAATTAACCCCTCTCAATGTACATGGGCAGAGAAATGTTGTGGCATTATTATTAGCAGCAGAGTGAATAGGTGCTTGGTGGCGAGAGTACATCAGTGTCCATGACTGCTGGGAGGGAAGCATCTTCCAGCACATCTTGGTCTCAGTATTTAAAACAGTTCAATTTCACAAATGAGTACAAAGTCATTACTAAAAATTCTACATGAGGATTGGTAAGTTAGTGCTGCAGATAGTCAAGATGCCTGCAGTTGTCACAGAAAAAGCTGGAGAAAGATGTCCCCAGGACGTGAAATGAAGGTTCCCTTCTAAAAATGTGGTCATCCAGAATGTGCCTTGTGGAGTGTGAGTCAGTTCTGAGTTCCTTGCTAGGGTGATTTGCTTAAGGGTAACTTAAGGTTGACTGAGTGTCAACCTCTATCTCTTATGTAATGCCTGGTAAGGAATTTCTGAGTCAATTAATAGCTTGCAGAAGTGACTCAAGGAATGGTCATTTTAAACATATGCCCTGGGATCTGTGAGAAATACTCTTGTCCAGGCAAAAGGTGAATGATCTAGGATCAAATTGCTATCAGGGGAGATCTGCAAACTAATCGACTCTGCCTCAGTGTATCTGAAGACCGTGTGAAAATCCAGTTCTTGGTCCAGGAGGAACCTAGGAAGTAAAGACAAAAGGTTGGGGCTTTTCAGGCTCAAGGGAGGATGGCCTGTCCAGCTAAGTCAGCTTGGGCTACTATATGGCACATTACCATAGAGACAGTGTCGTATAAACAATAGAAATGCACGTTCCACAGTTGTGGAGACTGCAAGTCCGAGATTGAGTTGCTAGCATGGTCAGGCTTGAACAGGGTGTCTTTCCATGTTACAAACTGCAGAATCCTCACCGTTACCTCACTTGGTAAAAGGAGCCAGGAGTCCCTCTAGGGTCCCTTTTAGAAAGGCACTAGTACCATTCATGAGGATTTGTGCCCAGGACTCAATCACTTCCTAATACCATTACCCCGACAGGTGAAGTTCTGAGGACATAAACATTCAGACCACAGCACTAGTTTACCCGTGTGTGGCTTTCTTTTTCCCACATCTGTCACTCCTTGGCCTCCCCAAACTTCAGGCTTTGTCTCTTCTCAACTCAAGTCCTGTTGGGGTCCCTCCTTGCCTGCAGGCATCCTGAGACCCCAACAGTATTGATATTTCAGGGCTCATCTTGGTGTCTTCTTCCACTTGGGGACCACAATCCTATGTAGACCTTTGTCCAAAGATGAAGGCATTTTGTCCAGTTTTCAAGGTGCTTAAGGTGGGAGGGTAAACCCATCTCCTGCTAATCTAAGGGGTTCTTGGTCTTTGCAGTGAATTCATTGGGTCTGGGTGTGAGATCCAAGGAGGATATCTGGAATGAATAAATGGAGCAGGAAACCGGGAGAATTGGATGGAGTTCTTCACTCAGACTGATGGGTGCCTTTCTCGCAGCTTCTCCTAGTTGTCTGATGAACAACAGAGAGTAAATGTGATTTCCTCTGGCACCCACAGGGCAGCAGCAGCTGCTGGGGTTCCTGATTGTGTAATTTGGAGGCTGAATTTTGGCACCTGTGCCTGGAATATTCCCTCCTGTCTGTTTCTGCAGCCCTCCCCACACTCCTGTGATACCTCCTTTTCCTCCATGATCCACCAGAGTCGGCCAATCACTTGAAAGACCCATTGTTTTAGGGCTGTTATTTGACTGAGTAGTAAATAATCAACAAAAGAGTGACCAAAAAATAGGATATCACTTTATCTAGTCATGAAAGGCCAAATTTAAATAGCTGTTTCCGGTTAGACCAGAGTCTTCTCTTCCATGCCATCTCTGTATGCCACAGACTGATGCCAAAGACCAAAAGAAAATGAAAACATTAATTATTTTTATGTCTTCCTATTGTTGACTGTAATGATTTTTCCATTTGAAGTAAAATCTTCTTGTTAGTCTAGTGACTATTACTGGATGTTTTAATAACCTGTGCCAACACCTTACAAATCATATTTTGGAACAAGTTTCTAGGCTTCATTTATATTTCCAGTGATGGGAATTTGTAATCAAGGTATAGGGTGTGTGAAGTTGACAAATGGCACTCTCTCAGGCAAACAAAATCTGTTTAATTAATTGTATATTTTTTCCATTCTTTTACATTCATAAGCTGAACATGTACTTCACAGGCTTATAATTTATTCCTTTGAAAAATGAGCACATCTAGCATAGTACAGAAACCAGGGCTGTTTTTATGAATAAATGTGCATTTTCTTGAAGCAATGTGCTTGAAGTGGAAATAGTGTTGGGCTCCAAGGTGGGTCACCTGAGCTGGCTGGTAGAGAAGAAGCTCCTGGAATCTACTAGGCCAGGCGTGAACACAGGAGACAGAAAAGGCTATCTGAATCAAGTCCACAGATTCCTTGTCTTTTTGAACAGGAACTAATGTGTCCCTGGCCTGTAAGAAGTTTCTGGTGGGTGTTGCTTAGAAGTGTGTATTCAAATTTCGGAATGGCGAACTTCTCTCATCATCAAGTATTACTTGGTGAGATTTTTATAGACAGGCAAGACGCTACTTTGTCATTGAAACCTTTGAAATAGGGTGAGAGAGAGTGAAAAAAAAATCTACAAGTAAATAAATGGACGAGCTGAGAACATGATAGGGGAGACATTGACCTAGCTGCTGTTTATGCCCACAAGAAATTCTGAGTGTTTTTAAAATAGATCTAAATTCAAAACCATTATAGCAAGAAGTGAATGCTTCATTGAACTCATTGCTGGGTGAGAAGGAAAAAAAGTAGATATCAAAGAATAAGTTTTCTGGAAAGGACCTTGCAAATCCTTCTATTTATTATTCTATCGGGGAAATTGAGGCTCAGACAAGAAAGTGACCTGTCCAAGGTGCCTTATTAGGTAGTGAGAGAATTCTTTGGACTGAGTGTTTGTCACCCTTTCCCCCAACCCCTTGAAACCCTAATCTCAGTGTGATGGTGTTGGGAGGCAGAACCTTCAGGAGGTGATTAGGTCATGAGGGTGGAACCACCCTGAGTGGAGTTAGTGTCTGGTTTGGGGTAATTTCCTATTGCTATACCAAAATACTGAGATGGGGTGATTTCTAAAGTGTATTTGGCTCCTGGTTCTGGAAGCTGGGAAGTCCTGGAGAGTGGAGCTGGCCTCTGCTTAATCAGAGCAATTGGGCTTCATCTCAGGGACATAAGAACAGTTCAACATGTGAAACCAATAAATGTCATTCACCACATAAACAGGATTAAGGACAATAACCACATGATCATCCAATAAAAGTAGAAGAAGACTTCAAAAAAATCCAGCATCAATTAATGTTAAAAATGCCAGAGTAACTAGCATTGTAAGGAACTTAGCTCAACATTATAAAGGCTGTATATGACAAACCCAAAGCTAACATTATGTTGAAGAGAGAATGATTGAGAACATTTCTTATAAAATCAGGAACAAGCCAAGGATGTCTGCAATTACCTCTCTTACACAATTTAGTTCTTGAAACTTTAGCCATCATAATCAGGTATAAAAAGGAAATCAAAGAGATATGAACAGGAGAAAAAGTGAAATGATCTCTGTTTGCTGATGACCTGATCCTAACATCTAGAAGACTCAAAAAACCACACCAGAAGACTTCTAGAGCTCACAAACAAAGTCAGAAAAGCAGCAGGATACAAGATCGTCATTCCTAAATCAATAGCTTTCCTATATGCCAAAATGAATTTTCTGAGAAAGAAATAGGGATAACTATCCCATTCAAGATAACCTTAAGAATAAAATACTAGCACAGGAGGTGAAACACCTCTGTAATGAAAACTGCAAATCCCTGAAGGGAGAAATTGAAGAAGAACTTAGAAGATGGAAAGACCTCTATAATCTCAGATAGACAGAATTACTGTTGTCAAAATGATCACACTAACAAAATCACTCACAGATTATATACAATGCCCATCAAACACCAATGAGATTTTTCACAGAACTAGAAACATAACAGTTCTAAAATTTATTTATAAATGTGAATAAAAAGAATAAAAGCAGAATAACCAAAGTACTAATAAGCAAGAAAAGCAATGCCAGAAGCACCACAATACCTGATCTCAAATTATACCACAGTTATATGGTAACAAAACAGCCTGGTATTGGCGTTCAAATTGACATGAAGACCAACAAAATAGAAGACACAGAGACCAGCCCACATAGGCACAGGCATCTGATAGTCAACAAAGGTGCCAAAAACATCTGTTGGAGAAAAAACAGACTCAACAAATGGTGCTGGGAAAACTGGATATCCATATGTAGAAAATGAGACCAGATCCCTCTCACCCAGCACAAAAGTCAACTCAAAATGGATCAAGGCGTATGGGAAGTAGGCCAGAAACTTTGCAACCTTAAAAGAAAACATGGGCTCAATGCTACATTGTATCAGCACCAAGTTCCTTAACAAGACCCCTGAAGCTAAAGGAAACAAAAACCAAAAATAACCAAGAATCAATAAGTCATACAGCATCAAATTTTAAAACTTCTGCACAACAAAGGAAACAATTAGGAGTAGGAAGAGAGAGACTATAGAATGATAAAATCTTTGCCAGCTACTCTGCTGACAGGGTATTAATATCCAGAATATATAAAGAAATAAAAAAACTTAATAACCAAAACCAAATAATCCAATCAATAAATGGGCAAAAGAAGAAACAAATGGCCAACAAATATATGAAAAAAAAATGTTCAACATCCTTAGCAATCAGAGAAATGCAAATTAAAAGTATATTGAGATTTCATCTCACTCCAGTTAGAATGCATTCATCAAGAATACAAATAATAAATTCTGGCAAGGATGTGGGGAAAATGGCACAGTCGTTCATTGTTGGTAGAACTATACGTTGGTACAAACACTTTGTAAAACAGTATGAAGGTTCCTCAAAAGACTAGAAATGGGTCACCATATGACCTAGATATCCCACTCCTTGATATTTATCCAAAAGAACTAAAATCAGCATACTCGAGTGATGTGGACACATCCACGTTTACAGAAGTGCAATTCACAATAGCCAAGTGATGGAACCAGCCCAGGTGCCCATGAACTGATGAATGGATAAAGAAAATGTGGTCTAAATACACCATGGAGCTTTACTCAGCCACAAAGAATAATGAAACTATGGAGTTTGCTGGTAAATAGATGTAACTGAAGAACATAAGGCTAAGTAAAATAAACCAGATTCAGAAAGTCAAAGGTTAAATGTTTTCTCTTCTATGCAGAAGCTAGAGAAAAGTGAGGCGGGGAAAGTGGTGGATATAGGTGGATCATATGAAAATAAAAGAGAGATAAGTGGAGTAGAGGAAGGGGATAAAGAGGGAGAGGGAGGGACAGGAAAAGGAAAGAACCACAGAAGGAACTTGACCCTATTATGCTGTACCCATACATGAATATGCCACAGTGAACTTCTCCTTATGTATATCTACAAAGTGCCCATTAAAAAAACAAACAATAAATACAAAGAAGCTGCCACAGTCTGGCTGGGCACAAAGCCTTGTAGGTTCAAACAGCAACTACCTTATTTCAACTCTTACCGACACTGCACACGCACTTTTCCGCCAACGCCACCCATGCGGCCTTCTCCCAGGACACAACACACATCAACCAGAAATCCCTCCTCTGGAAATCTCTCCTCTGGAAATCGCTTCTCCAGCACTTCCCCAACCAATGAGAACTCTCCGGAAATCCCTGTGAGAACTCCAAAGTAGTGGGCGCCCAAGGCAGCAAGAGCTGCCCCATTGCCCAACAGTAAAGGTCAAATATACAATACAATCAATCCAGCATCACAGCAATTATATATAGCTTAACTCAAATCATCATCTCAATGGTTTGCTGGCGTCACCTTTCAAACATTCCCTCTGGCAAATGCCAGGCATCATTCTGACCTGCCTGGCTCTCAACAAGAAGCAAGATCTTAGAGTGGAGTCTGGGGAGGACTAAGGGAAAGAAGTGGGGAGGGAAAGAGCAAGTAGTAGGTACTGAAATGGCACAAATTATATTTCATGCATGTATAATTATGTCAAAATGAATCTCACTGTTATGTGTAACTATAATTCACTATTAAAAACAATACAAGAAAAAAGATGATATAGCCTGAATAGATGTCAATGTCCAAACACCTTGGAGAAAGAAACTTTGAAGGTGTATAAATGCAAGTTCAAAATAAGAGAGAACTTGCTATCTATTGTATGGATTGGGCTCACTTAAACTGGTATGCATCCCTGGAATGCTATGAACGCTGTGGGAACATTGCTCAAGAATGCTGTCTGTTTGATTCTTAATTGGACTGGGTGGCTCCAAGCTCCATTCTAACTCAAGGGTTAAAAGTGCTAACTACAGCATTACCTCCCATCCCCACCACATACTCGGTGACTCAGGCATGTTTTAACCTTTGCTGAATCTTTCTTTCCTGGCTTGAAGCTCAGGAAGATCAGATACATTTCTCAGGAATTGTCTTAAAAATCAACTTTAAAATGCACAACAAGGTCTTTAGTATAGTACTTGGTACATGATGCTTTTTAAAAGGAAGGCTTGTGTCTTTGCAGCTTTCCATTCTCCCATCTTTAACAACTCTTTCAGCATGAGCATGTAACCCCATAACAACTAATGAGATACCCTGAGACTTTCTCTGACTCTTCTTGCTTAATGGATTTGAGGCTGAGAGTACAAACTTCCTGGAGATCTTATTACATCTGAACTCAGAGATGAAAACCAGGATAGCGGGAGAGGGAGATGAGAGCGAGGGAGAAACAAGCCAGAGGCGACTCTGGCCCCTGAATCCAGCAGAACCTGTAGCTTAATGACTTCCAGACTTTTCATTTACAAGTGTCAGTTAATTTCATTCTGTTCCTGCTCTCTGGGTCAGGGTTTCAGTCATGTAAAACCAAAGAATTTTGACAGATGTGGTCCATATCCATACAGTTTAAATATCATTGTTTCTTGTGAAGCCCCAACCTGGCAACTACTTTCCCTCCTTCCCTGTGTGGAGCCACTGAAATTCTGCCTTTCTGAATCCTCTACCTCTTCTCAGAGCCCCCAGGATGCCTGGCTTCGGTGTTTTAAGGATGTGTCAACCTAAAAAGTCTTCTTGATATTTTTGGCAGCTCTCAGTTTAGAGATGGTACCTTTACAACAAAACTGCATCTTTTTAAACTGCTTTTTAAGTGCCAAAAGCCAAATCTATATCAACATCTAAAATTTCTTCAACTGAGTTTGGCATCTGGCCTG